GGGGTGCAGCCCGGGGTGCTCGGGGGAGGGGGCGGCGCTGCGGGGCCGCGGCGAGCGGCCACTCCACTCCTCCAGGCCACTGGCCGCTGCGGCTGTGGCCGAACTGCACGTGGCGCTGGCCTTGCGTGGCTGTGGGGACAGAGGGGACAGCAGAGTGACCACAGTGACCACAGCGATGGGGACATGGGGACAGCAGAGTGACCACAGCGATGGGGACATGGGGACAGCAGAGTGACCACAGGGACAGGGACAGCAGAGTGACCACTGGGACATCAGAGTGACTACAGTGACCACAGGGACGGGGACAGCAGAGTGACCACTGGGACATCAGAGTGACCACAGTGACCACAGGGATGGGGACACAGGGACACAGGAGGGACACTGGGGTGAGTGGTCACTCCACTCCTCCAGGCCGCTGGCCGCTGCTGCTGTGGCCGAACTGCACGTGGCGCTGGCCTTGCGTGGCTGTGGGGACAGAGGGGACAGCGGAGTGACCAGTGACCACAGGGATGGGGACAGGAGAGTGACCACAGGGACACCAGAGTGACCACAGGGATGGGGACATGGGGACAGCAGAGTGACCACAGGGATCAGGGCAAGGGGACACAGGAGAGGGGTGGCCCCAGGACAGGGGGATACCAGGGATTGGTTGGGACAAGGATGGGGACACCAGGGGGTGGCAGTGACAGTGACAGGGACACCAGAGGGTGGGTGGGACAATGATGGGGACACCGGAGGGTGACAGTGACAGTGACACCAGGGGTGGCAGCGACAATGACGGGGACACCAGAGGGTGACAGTGACAGCAGGGTTGGCAGCGACAATGACGGGGACACCAGAGGGTGGCAGTGACAATGATGGGGACACAAGGGGCTGGCAGTGACAGTGACACCATAGGCTGGCAGTGACAGCGACAGGGACACCAGGGGTGGCAGTGACAATGACGGGGACACCAGAGGGTGACAGCGACAGGGACACCAGGCCCCACCTGGCGCGCCTGTTTCTCCTGGTCGCGCAGCCACTGCAGGTAGGACTCGCGGGCCACCTGCTCCTCGATGGCCTCGTTGGTGGCCTCCCAGTCGGTGGCGCGTTTCTTGTCCTCCAACATCTGCTGCTCGATCCACGACTCCTCCGACGTCTTGATGGCGCTCTTCATCAGCGACTGCTCGGCCAGCTGGGGACAGCGGGGACACCGTGGGACACCAGGGAGGGACACGGCCGGGGGACACGGCCAGGAGGGATAGAGACACCCATGGACACCTGGGGACACTGTGGGACATGGCCCAGAGGGACACGGCCACCCAGGACAGGGTCGGGGGACATCGTGGGACATGGCCGGGAGGGACAGAGACACCCGGGGACACCTGGGGACACTGTGGGACATGGCCAGGAGGAACAGGGACAGGATGGACATGGGCAGGGGACACAGCCGGGAGGGACAGGGACATCCGGGGACACAGCCAGGGACACCATGCGACATGGCCGGGAGGGACGGGGACACCTGGGGACACTGTGGGACATGGCCAGGAGGAACAGGGACAGGATGGACATGGGCAGGGGACACAGCCGGGAGGGACAGGGACACCTGGGGACATGACCGGGAGGGACACCCGGGGACACAGCCAGGGACACCATGGGACATGGCCGGGAGGGACAGGATGGACACCTGGGGACATTGTGGGACACGGCCGGGAGGGACATGGCCAGGATGGACACGGCTGAGGGACATTGTGGGACACAGGTGGGAGGGACATGGCCAAAAGGGACATGGCCGGGGGACACTGTGGGACACGATTAGGAGGGAAAGGGACACCTGGGGACACCTGGGGACACTGTGGGACACGGCCAGGAGGGACAGGATGGACATGGCCGGGGTCATTGTGGGACACAGCCAGGAGGGACACGGCCACGATGGACATCACCCAGAGGGACAAGGCCACCCAGGACATGGCCAGGGGGACACTGTGGGACACAGCCCAGAAAGGGCACACCCACCCGGGACACACCCACAAAGGACACGCCCATTAAAGGACACGCCCATGTGGAAAAGGCTCCACCCCCAGAGACAATGGGCAATGGGTGGGGTCACATCAGGCCACACCCATGAATGGAGGAATCGCTTGGACACGCCCACAAAGGACACACCCTACTGGGACACACCCTACTGGGACACACCCTTTAAGGACACGCCCATGGGGGAAGGCTCCACCCACCAAAAAACTGGGCAGGGGTGGGGTCACATTAGGCCACACCCATGAATGAAGAGCCCCCTTGGACACGCCCCCAACTGACCACACCCTCTGTGCTGAGGCCACGCCCTTTCTGGCAAAGGCCACACCCCCACAACCCAAACAGAGGTCACACCCACTCTGTGCTGAGGCCACACCCCCAGATGACCACACCCAAAGAGGCCACACCCCCAAATTTGGGATCCCCGGCCCGGTACCCTCGGTTTGAAAGAGGGCAGCACCAGCCCCATGGAAAGGGAGGGTCCCTGCCCCAAATTCGGGTCCATCACCCCCAAATTCAACATTCCCACCCCCCAAATTAAGGATTGTCACCCCCCCCGAATTGGGTCCCCCACCCCCAAATTTGGGGTTCCTGACCCCGTACCCCCGGTTTGAAGGAGGGCAGCCCCAGCCCCATTGAAAGGGAGGGTCCCTGCCCCAAACTCGGGACCTTCACCCCCAAATTCAGGTCTCCCACCCCCCAAATGTGGGTCCCCCACCCCTCAAATCGGTGTTCCCACACCCAAATTTGGGGTCCCAGCACTGTACCCCCAGTTTGAAGGAGGGCAGCCCCAGCCCCACAGAAATGGAGGGTCCCGAACCCCAAATTCGGGTCCTTCACACCCAAATTCAAGGTTCCCACCCCAAAATTCAGGTCTCCCACCCCAAAACTCAGGTCCCCCACCCCCAAATTTGGGGTCCCCGGCGCCGTACCCCCGGTTTGAAGGAGGGCAGCCCCAGCCCCACGGAAAGGGAGGGTCTCCAACCCAAATTCAAGGTTTCCACCCCCAAATTTGGGGTTCTCACCCCCAAACTCGGGCCCTTCACCCCCAAATTCAGGTTTCCCACCCCAAAACTCAGGTCCCCCACCCCCAAATTTGGGGTCCCCGGCGCCGTACCCCCGGTTTGAAGGAGGGCAGCCCCAGCCCCACGCCGATGGTGGC